AGGATTAATAACACTTCATGACATGTTTCGTTCTGTTTCGGACTGCAAAATGATGTGCATATAAACCATTATAAGCTGGGAAAGATGCAAAGACTGCCTAAACAGAAGTAACCCCCCTCTGGACGCGGATCAATAGATTGATGCACAATTTTTTCGCTGCTACTTTTCTCTCGATTCATTTTCAGTATTAAATTCGGCACTTAATAGAAATGGTCTTCTTACTTTCCTCAACAGAAATATGTATAGAAAGTCATCTTCATATACGCCACACTATGCCCTACTACATCAAGAAAGGTTGGAAGGTGGCACAGTCCTGACGTGATCTCATCGAACTTCTCGGCCAAAGTCGAATAAGGAATGGAATCAATTCCTACGCTCGCCCTATCAACCAACAGAAACTCCTATAGATCATCACGTCAATCGTCTGTTGAAAAAATGGCTAACTAACAGAACTTTCGAAGAGATGGATGACTCCACAGCCGACGTCAAGGCGTGGCTCGCCTTCAAGGATCGAAACTTCTTCGCCTGTACCATTTGGCTGCCTAGCAAAAGGGAATCAGTGCATGAGGTAGATGGTAGATATGTTCCGTATTAATTATCTGAGCATGTTTTTGCTAAATATTTCTATCGTTTCTTTGACTAAAATGTACTGCAAAAAATCCGCAATAATTATGCATCAACCTAATAGTTGCTGTTAGCTTAGAACATGGCGAACAAAGCTTGGAATCCTGCCTTGCAAATCACCATGATCGCATGTCCAAGGTTTTGGACCGTCGGTTGTTTCCAAAAAAAACTGTGAACGAATGATACGACAAACCCTATCTTCCTCGAGCAGACAAAGTGCGCGATGATCGAAAAAGGTAGTCGCCCCGCTGGAGGGCACGCGGCACGGCGAGTTCTATCCGGGAAATGAGCAATTGTAATACGTTATCTGGCATGTTGACCTCGTTTACGATTAACAACACTAACAACAGCCCTAAACATGGGTACTGAGCCCCTTCTTCTAACATGAGCACTACACCTACACAACGAATTCCTCACATGCTTTCTCAAAGCGCCTTTATTTCACGGCGACTAAAATTTTGTATTTGGTGGAACAATCAAACCTGTGTCGATTACGTTTTAAAAACATGAGGAGATTAGTTTGACAGTGAGCCTCCTATAGAGGATATTACTGCGGCGGAGGCTTCTCGTGTGAATTGGAGTGTGTTACAAAATTTCAGGGTCAGGCTCATTGCAAAGCCGATTTTGCTGGTTTCGAGACTGCGAAACAACAAAGATCTAATGGGCACGAATTAGACCCTTTTGTTGGATATCTTCATTATTTCAATGGAAGCAGACAGTTCTGAATGCAATTTTTTTTGCTAGAGTGGGAAACCATAAGCAGCGATTATTCGTGACCCTAAACATGTCGATGCGCTCACGCCCACTGATAAGTAACGGTAAACGTGATCTCAGAGGTCTGTCTTTACATGTTGTGGTCTACAGTTCTACAAATTGATAATATACAGAGAGACCAATGAGCCGAGCTCGTGGCAGTTGTCTGTCGGCGTGAGCTCATGCATATGATTAGGATCCGCTCGGAATCAACATTAATAGGAACAATAGGATACAGGGTCTAGCCCTTGAAAGGACCCCGAAAATAAAGAGCAAACAGAGCAGCACGACTGCTCAAAGGGATACAAGGGCCAAGAGGGTTAACTGTACCTTTCAAGTAATGTCTCCGAAAGCCTCTTACAAAGATTTTCTTATAGATGTTTTCATGACAAAAACAGGGATATTGGTCTGGTGGCGCAGCTTAGTGCCCGAGCCATCATCGAAGAGAGAACGGCTATGAGAAACGACCTGACCCTTATCGAAGGATTCATCACTCGTAGTGGGAACATACGTGTACACTAACACCCAAATACAGTGCGTCGCCAAATGATACAGCCACCTCTGATTTTCCCAAAAACTCACTGTGTACGATGTATCTGAAAATTTGCCAAAGTAAAAAATGTGTCAAATTTGAATTGCAATTCGCACATTA